GGCCCCTCCTCCCAAAGGGTTAGCCAAAACATCCTACTATCACCCCCTAAAAGGGTGTGGGGCCAACGGGATGTACTCCGGGATGTACTCCCGTCCTGGGCACAGCATAGGGTACACTACCCGAGCGCATGCGGCGGCGAACATACCGACGCTTCACTGGTGAATGTTTCCTCACTATCACTACTCGAATGATCGTCGAGCGCAATAAAATCACAATCCACGTCAGAATCATCGTCATTACTGAAGTCAAGGCCAGGCCACGGGAAAATATTAGTTTTCTCTTACGTTTAGGAACACCCGACCGTGAGTCACGAGTGCCCACACCAGAGGTAGAAGGTCGAGGATCGTCGGGGTTTTCTGCACTATTATCGATATCCTGGTCATTATTTTCGGTCACTAACTTATCAAAGCCGTAGAATTCGTCTTCATTTCCACTTCCATCAGTGTCAGAACTATCAGACAGGAAGAGGAGAGTCCCAATTTTCCGGGGAGTGAGAGCTGACTTGCGACGAGACATGGTGAACAAGGGTGACTGAGCCGGCGTTCCCACAATGCTATGCAGGCGCCTAGATTTTGTTTATGGCGCACACCCACGGCGCAGACCCATTCTCTCATATGTAGGCCTATGAGCACTTTCACGCTAAATTTGACGGCGCTAGAATTTTGGCGTAGATCTACGGTTTGGACACTCACCGACCAGCCGTAGATCTATGGGACGGACCCTGAAAGGGTTAAGCAAACAATAGTAAATAAGAAAATTACATAAGGTGACTTATGCTTACTAGTAAAATCACAAAATGAGGTAGTTGATTATTTAAATACTAAGAGATTGTACAATGAAATTTGAACAATAATGGAGCAAAACATACACTACGCTACGTAGGCTTTTAAGTTGGACATTGTTTAGTTATTCTCTGTAAGATTAGTATCCCTGAGAAATCGTGATAGATCATTCTCGTTCGTGATTGTGTACAGTTGACCTACATTTGTTTTCCTAACAAGAATTTTCCCATCCCGTGTGAAGCATTGGTGTATTGTCGTTATTCTCCTGCTTAAGTTTTCTTACTCTATACAGGAGGTTCTGACGTTTTTTTGGTAAGACGCTCGTTTATGTATACCTCTTTCTTTACTTTAATAGATGCAATAATTAAGTCTTTTTTCCTGTCATGTGAGTGGAATCTAAGCATAACACTTTTTCTACCATGGGATCCTAGTAACCTGGCTTCTTTTATTTCAGACTCAGGTACAATAACACTTGTTTGGTCCTTTATGATCTGCAGAGTAATTTCTTTACTGTTTGTTTGGTTCATATCACTGGTGAAAAAGTGGACTGTTAACTATTACTGCGTCCGATAGTTTTATCTTGTTCAGTTTTATCTTCTTGGAGAGCAAAGAGTCGCTGAACTGGTTATCTAAGTTGTTCTTCCATTCTTTTACTGCTTCTTCAACCTTTGTATTAAGAGATATTATTTGTTGGGTATGGCTATTTATGACTGTCTGGATGGTCTTGCCACAGTTTGTCATTCCTGGTGTTGCTTAAAGACAGCCAGGGATCTATTGGTAATCCCCCTTATGTATGCTGGGAGGCAGTTGAACAGTCTTGGGCCCCTGACACTTATTGTATTGTCTCTTAACGTGCTAGCGACACCCCTGCTTTTCATTGGGGGGGATGTTGCATCGTCTGCCGAGTCTTCTATGTCTAGTTCTTAAATTGTCTTTAAGCATTAGGATTAATCTGCCTGAAATGCACTGCATGTTAGTGGCTTTCTTTTGTTTCTAATAATATTTTAAGTCTCCATGGGGAAATTGAACAGAATTCTTCCTCCGTAAGCCATGCGTGTAGTAAGAGGAGACTAAAATGCCGGGAGCAAGGGGCTAGTAACCCCTTCTCCTGTATATATTGCTAAATTTGAAAGGAGAAACTTTCGTTTTTCCTTTTGGGCCACCCCACCTCGGTGGGATACGGCTGGTATGTTGAGAGAAAGAAAAGATGTAAAAGAAAATTAAAAGTGAATATAGGGAAGAGTAAGGTGATGAGGATAAAAAGGTTATATGATGAAAAATTGCATATCAGATTGGAGGGAGATTATGGAGGTGAATTTATTCAGATAAAGTACACCTACCATCTGACTTTCGACGGAGTTCGGTTCCGAGAAACCGGTTGTAAGTAGAAACGACCATAAGTCGAACTTTACTACTGAATATCAACATCACATTTTTGTAATGACTTTATTTTGTTTTATTTTGGTATTTCATGTTTTACTTTACTTTTTATGCTGTTAGTACTGTATTTTAAAAACTGAAAGGGTTAGGATAAACCGGTACAACGTTTTTCCCAGAAATTTGGCATAAAAAACAGTCGTAAGTGGGTGGTTGAAGTCGAGCAGGTCGAAATCGGAGGGTAGGTTTTTTGGGAGGGACTGTCATTGTTGGGTCTTGAAGGATCAGTGAATATAGAATTGTGAGGGAAAAGGGGCGGTGTGCATTTCGGAGTCTGGGAACAAAAAAATTTTGCCATGGAAGCAAAGAGGGGAATGTATGAAGATATTTATACCACACTCCGTAGGGTGTAAAGCAGGGGTGGGGGAATTTGCAATGAAGAAGGTGGGGGCAGTAAAGCATTTTGGGGGCAATCTGTGGTTAAATAATGCAAAAAATTTTGTATTTGGAAATTAGGGGTGGGGATTACCAAAATATACCAAGGGCTGGGGAGGGTTTGTTGAGGTGGTTCGAAATGTAGAGAGAGGGAACAAACAGAATAAAGTGGGGGAAACTGTAGTGGGGGGAAGGCGGGTTGGGGGTTGGGTGGGGAAAGTTCAGAGGGGGCGAAAGGGGGTTTTGGTGCGGGGGGGCTTTGTTTTCCCAGCAAGCATGCGTGAGTTTTGATAGATGAAGGGAAAAAGTTTCTTTTTCGGACACCCTGCTTTGATGGGAAATTTGGGCAAGTTTTAATAAAAATAAAAAAAAGTAATTTTATTTTAATTGTCCCCAAAGGGGGACCTT